CACCCTGGGACAATATCCCAAGCAAAAAACTGAGATAAATGATGAGTATTTGTGGCGAAATCCTCTGCCTTTTCCGAAAGTAATCAATGTGACCATAGCCCACTTTAATAATAATAATTTTGTTGTTTTTATTTTTTTGAAAACCACAAAAAGGGATTAGCTGGCTTACCTAAAAAAAAAGTTCTCCTATACAATAAGACCTGAAGATATTCACTGGTCATAAACAAAAAACTGGTGGTTCAAAAAACGCAGCTATTTCCCATCTGCAGCTCGAAGGACCAAATTATCAAGAAGAAGTGGAGAGGTGTTTTTTCAGTTTATCTTACAAGCACTCTTTATATTAAAAGAAGAAGATAAAGTAAACAAATCACCATGCTTTTAAAGTAAAAGACATGGAAAATGTGCTTTTAGCCAGCTCGAAGGACCATTTATTCAAAAAGGAAGATGTATAGTTATTTTCTTATTTAGCACTTTACAAATGCCCGGTAAGAACAGACCTATACCGTTTAGTTCATTATGTTGCATATAAAGAATTTTTTTGGAACTTCTTGGGTATTTAAAGGCTCGAAAGACGAATTAAGAAATTAAGATGCAGATTTATTTTCTTATTTAGATCCTTATAAGTATACACTAAGGACAGACATCTGTCGACTTTTTTATACTTCTACGTTGGTCCTTCAAGGTCCAAATGTTAAAGAATAAGTTTTAGAAGTAAATTTTGTGTGTGTTTTTACCAGCAATTACTAAAAAAAAGTATATATTCCGTCATCGTGCATATATTTCTACGTTTGATCCTCTTCAAGTCGGATATGACGAATATTGGTCCTTCGAGGTCCAAATGTTAATGGAGAAGTTTTAGAAGTAAAGTTTTTCTGAGTGTTTTAACAGCATTTTAAATATATATATATATATATATATATTCCGTTTTTTCTACCTTTGATCCTCTTCAAGTGTTTTTAAAGAAGATGTTTTAAAGTAAATCTTTTTTTTAGTGTTTTTACCACCAATTACTAAAAAATGATCTATGCCGTCATCGTGCATATATTTCTACGTTTGATCCTCTTCAAGTCAGGTATGACGAATATTGGTCCTTCAAGGTCCAAATGTTTAAGAAGATGTTTTAGAAGTTACGTTTTTCTGAGTGTTTTACCAGCAATTTTCTAAAAATATATATATATATATATATTCCGTTATCGTGCATATAATTCTACGTTTGATCCTCTCAAGTAGGATATGACGAATATTTTTATAAGATTTCATGGATTTTTGCTAATACCTAACATAGGTCAGGTTCCTTCTTTGGATACTGAGCGAAAATAGATCAACATCCATCATTTTCTGCTGTAGAAGTTTTTTTACCTATGAAAATCTGGCATGCCAGATGTGAAGCAAAAAATTAACGACTGAAGAAAAAGGAACTATATGAACGAAAGAAGTTCCGATCGTTCCTTTTGAGGAATAGTTTCTACTTTGAACTAGTATTGTTGTGGGTAATGATCCGTTAATATTTGGACCAAAACACATTATTTTTGAAGGAGTTCTGACCATAGAACAAGCTTTGCTCTGAAAATCTGACAAGGTATGAAAAGTATTCTTCCATTTGAGGAACCAAAATTCTAAATTGGAGTCATTTCTTCAAAATATTTTCCAAGACCCTTGTGAGCTATAAGGAACTGTATTAAAAGAGGTAAATAATCTATAAGGAACAAATTGTATATATAAGTATGCATTTCTTTCTCTGATTTCAACATACAAATATAAAGGCATTCTTCTTATAATACAATTATTCCAAACTTTCAGGAGCCTCTTATGCATTTTTCAAAGTGTCTCTTATCTAAATACATTAACATTTTACTAAAAAATAAAAAATCCCGACGAAGGTAAAATAAATTCATCAAATAATTAAGGAAGAACATTAAATTGAAATAAAAGACCCCGTCTTATTTTAGTTCGATGACATTTTGATATACCTAGAAAATGTAAAAAAAAAGAACAGCGGTCACACCACATGATAACCATGACCAAAAACAAAAAATGTTTATATTTCAAATAAATATTTCCTACTTGAGAATTTCATAATCGACATTATCAAATTGATTTTTTATGACGTTATCATTTTAGTGTTTTTTTAACCCAATGACCCAGAGCTCTGTTCTCCGCCCATCATTTTTTTGTTGTGGTTCTTATCACAAAAATGTTCACAGAGCCATAATTTTCGTTCCAAACAATCTGAAATTGAGTAACGTACAAATTATTATTGATTTTTTTAATATTTGTTCCGATTTTTATTAATTTTTTATGGGTCCCAGGGAGAGGGATCACAACACCACACATTCGATGCTGTTATTAAAAAAAATTAAGTTCCAATGAGATAAGCCTATCACACATATTTATTGAAATTTATTTAAAAAAAATATATGTCTATTTTTTCACCCAGTTTTCAGCAGCCATTTTTATCATTTCAATATTGGAATTTTGTTTATATGAGAAGGCAGACAAAAAAATCAAAAATAAAAATAGAACGCTTGATACCGTTAATGTATGTTTCATTGATTGTGTTTTGTTTAATCAAGCCGATTTTTTTTTGTTGTTATCATTCTTAAAACATATCATTTAAAGTTCTTGCCATGAATCGATTTTTGTTTTATTAATGGCCGTGCATAAATTATCATTAAAATTGTATTTTTAAAATATTGTATATGTTTTTTTAAGAGTGCGAGAATAGAATTTGCCATCTTTTAAAATTTGTGACGACACGTTAAGACTATTGGAGATAGGTAGAATGCTTATCATGTTATTAAATGTTATTCATTCTCAATTGAATTAATCCATACTTCTTATAACTCCCACCTCTGAGTGTTATTCAGAGAGAGTAAATGAGTTGACAAAAAGAGAGAATTAAAGTAGTCCACTCAGGCCGGCAGACTTGTTCGACAAGGAGATAACAATAGTTTGTCATGCTGCTGTTGTTAGGCGAACATTGACCATTGATCATGACATAGAGTTTAAACACAACCATAGAGTCTAGAGTCAGCGACGGTCATTTACCGTGTGTTTTTTAAAGGGGAGACACATAAGAAGACTTTCAGACTTGGCATGTTAAGTTGGTTTCTTTTATTGTAAAAGAATAAAGGAGAACGGCATCCAAATTCAAGTTTGACTCTGATATTCCCTTATAAATTGACAATTCATACGAAGCCAACTTAACAGGGCAGGCCACAAGCCTCGTATGTGTTTCCCCCCTTTATTGGCAACGGGAAATCCCGACGGCTGACGTTCGTGTCCAGCGGCTTGACGCTAGAATTGATTTTATTTTTTTCAGCGTCATACTCAAATTTCCTCTCTTGCTCTCAATTGAATTGCCATATTTTAGGTAAAAATCATCTGGGCTACCAACATTTCAATGGAAATTTATATAAAAACATATTGCAGTACTCTTTGAAAAAAACAAAGAATATTTGGAATTTTTTTTAACGAATTAATAATAAAATTAAAGCAAAATTGATCGAGGAAATAAAAATAATTACAAAATAATTTTTCCCAAGTTCCTTGACATTATTGTTTATTAAAAAATAAAATGAATTTGGTTTGTCAGAAAATGAAAAGAAATAATTGACATTTTGTGCCGCTAGACGTGAAGACGAAAAAAATTAACGACTTCAGCAAATGGAACTATATGAACAAAAGAAGTTCTGATCGTTCCTTTTGAGGAATAATTCCTCCTTTAAACTAGATTTGTTTTTGGCAATGATCCTTTAATATTTAGGGGATGTAATGGGCCAAAACACGTTATTTTTAAAGGGGTTCGGATCATAGGCCTTTTCATAATAAATGGTCAATATTTAGCGGTTCAATTCGAGTCAGATTTTTTGTGTGAAAAATTGAAAAAAAATATAGGACATAGACCAAAGAAGTTGACAGTATATCCAAGAGGAGTGGTTGACCATTAAATACCAATACTAATTACAGGTTGAGATAAAAAAACTGCAACGAAGTCAAACGCCATGATTTGTAAATTTTTTTAATTTTGTTGAATGAAAGCGAAAATGTCGGAAATAGCATTAAATTTTTGGAATAAGTTTAGATTTGTTCGAATTGGTCAACTTTGGCCTTCAAACGACCAATGAAACCGTCACACGCTACCCGAATGTTGGGCAGAGTTTGACGGTTTCTGCCGTATTTTGGCCCATTCCCGGCCAAGCGCTTGCTTTAGGTGATCGACACTTTGGTATTTTTTAGTGTCAACCTTGTTTTCCAAAATACTCCAGAGACAATAGTCCAACGAATTGGTATCCGAAGATTTTGGTGACCATTGTACGCTGGAAATGAAGCGAGGAATCTCATTTTGTAACCATTATTGGGTGGAGCGTGCTGAGAGCTATGATGCTGAGAGCTATGATGCTGAGTCCCGTGTGGAATGTCCAAAGTCTGCGAACAAAGTGCCCAAGCTTTAATACACCCTCCAGAATATTTTTGCGATAATATTTGGCATTTATTGTGATGCCACGGTCGATTAATACGAGCGGAGAGGGACCATCGGCTGTTATGGCGGCCCACACCATTACCATGGCAGGCGCTTGAGTTCTGGCGTCCAACCGAAGGTGCACATTTTTTCAGCTGACCTCTTTGGCAAGTAAACACGATCGTTTACAAACTGCTGTTTTCTCATCGGAGAAAACCAAATACGGCAGTTCACCATTTTCGGCCAAGCGAAGCAACTTTTTAGCTCTTTTGAGTCTATTTTCTTCTTTTGCAGTGTAAGTTCTTGAAATTTTTGAATTTCAAGCCATTGAGCCCCGAGCTCATTTTTCAATATTTGCGGAATGCGATATGTTTGGATTGCGATATGTTCAGCTCACGAGCCTTTTTTCCGCCAATGCGGGTTTCGATCAAGTCGTTTCTTATCTTTTCGAACCATTTCTGCTGATGTTTCTGTTTTCTTCCGTCGACTTGCTTGACGTCGAGCTACACTATCAGGTACGCTATGTATGATGGTATGATTTTGCCTTTTTTGGAATTTCAATGGCTTTACCCCGAGCTAATTTTTCAATATTTACCGAATGGAATATTGCGATATGTTCAGCTCAAGAGCCATTTTTCGGTCACTGCGGCGAGGGTTTCGATCAAGTCGCTTCTTTACTTTTCGAACTATTTGTGCTCAAGAGCCATTTTTCGAACACTGCGACGAGGGTTTCGATCAAGTCGCTTCTTTACTTTTCGAACCATTTGTGCTGATGTTGCTGTTTTCTTCCGTCCAGTTCCTTGACGTCGGGCTACGCTACCACGGTAACAAGCGTTGGTACTAGCCACAAAAGATTTATTCACATTTAAATGCTGAAGTGCTCTAACGATTGCCACCTGCGGTTTTCCAGCCAAATATAAAAAAATTACACTATCACGCTTGAATATTCCATCACGAATAACTTTTTTCTGGAAAATTCTCACCAAAATGCTTTTGTAGGCTTGTAAGCAATATAATGAACTGTCACTGGAATAATTTTGTTTTTAAATTGACTATATGAGCCATGGGTAAATACCAAAATAATACAAAGAACGTCGATGAATGGTCCACCAACCTGGCTTTACTTTGGGACCAAGTAAGAAATCCTAGGACCTACAAAGGGTATTTTTTATCAAAACATGGATCCTCATTTTATTTATTTCTTTTTAGTAAAGAAACAAAAGGTCTATGACAGAAACATTTCCAAAGCCACAATTCGAATCTTAAAATATTCTCTTCTTAGAAACCGCATTGAGGGTTCTTAAGAAATTTAAAATAATGAATTTTTTTTGGTTGTTGTTTAGTCTGTTTTTTTTTTTACTTCTCAGAAATATGCCCTCCAAAAATACTGGCCAACAAGCTACTGTGAAAATATACTTTGTTTTGTTGTTGTTATTGTATCTTATTAATCAGGCTTCTACAGGTGTTACCGTTAACAAACAGCAGGCCAGCAATATTGTCCAGGTAGGAAAATGGGTGATCTGTTTTCCATTTTCTTTATTTTTGTTTCTTTCTATTTTCAATGGTTTCTTTGTTACGTTTGAAAAAAAAAACAAAAGAAAAACATTTTCCCTATACCATTCAATTCGATTGCAAAATTAAAATTTCCAAAGTGTGTGAGCGTGTTTTTTTTGAAAATTCATTTCCATTGGCTTGGCTTATTTCCGTAACTGTGTTTTTTTATTTGTTTTCCTGCTTTCACACTTGAATGCTATTCTTGGGTACTCTGTTTTCTTTATGTATTATTTTCCCACAATTATGCCAAAAGACAGTCGTCGGATGGGATCTCCTGTTGGTGTTTTTTTTTCTTATTGTTAAGGAATGCCCACTTTTGCGTACCGATCCCTTTTGGGAAAACAACCCTCATTTTTGTAGATTCCATAAAATTTTATAAAGTGATGTTGCAACATCAACAACGTCATGCCACAATGACATTGATATAATCTTTTGGGGTTATTTCATCGTCGTTCTCTTGTTGTTTCTTCTACATTATTTGTCTGCTTGTTTCAGTTGTCCGGAACAACCACCATCGAATGTTCTTCTTCTCTCTTCTGATCACTGCATTTTCCACATTCCATTACAGCTGGGCGATAAGAAGACATCTTTTTGAATGGGGGGAAGTTTTTTTGTATTGGAAGCAGATGCAAGAGGCGACGACTATTTGTAGTGAAAAAACAAATCCAAAGATTTTTTTAAAGAAGAAATATTTTTCAAAAATCATATTTTTTTCGAATCGATTTTATTGACACGGAACAGCATAGTTCATATACCACAGCTTAACGGTATGTCTGGCAGACAGTGCCGACAGACAAATAGTCATAAACTCATGGGAATAGCAAAGAAACAAATACCAGCTGTCAATCGAATTGACCTCTATGCGATTATAATGAATGTCATTGTTACGAAAAGAAACAAAATTCGAAAGAAAAAAATTCTATCTATGCAACTTGTAATGCTGGTGCTGCTATCATCATCTAATCTTAATTCATGTAATAAAGGGAAGGTTATTAAGCCATTTCGAATTTGATTGAAGACATGTGGAAAATGTTATTTTTTTCAACAAGCACCAGAGCTTTGAGAACTACAGATATATAAGAATATTTTGTAGAGGTTTTCCACTGATACAAACGTATTGAAAACCAATGAGCGGAACAGTATGGTCGGACGGGACCGATCATACGATACCCTACACAACTACCACGGAACTCAAACATTCTGCGAATTTTTATTCCGAGCCTAGGCAATATTTCGTGGTAGTTTCACCCTCTTGCCCTATTAGAGGTCAAGAGCAGCTCTTCTTACACTGCCATATTTTCCAAATATTTCTAATATTCAGTACTTTTTACAAATCCTTCTAATTACTTGTCCATATTCTCTTCACCGCGAGTTGTGTTGTTCAGCTTTCAATTGTGTCCTATAGATCGACTTGAAAAAAAAACACAAAAAATAAGTTTTAGGTCCACTTCATCTCAATATTATTATCTGATAATCACCGAAAATTATAGGCGTTGTCCATGACCATACCTGGACCCTGATGGAAAATTTCAAAGCGATCAGCGCTATATTTCCGGCCTCTTGTAAGGTAATGGGTTACTGATTAATATATGAATACCTATTAATATTTAAGTGTAACTCCCAAGGTCAACCACTCCCCTAGGATATACTACAAACTTCTCGTTGGTCAGGTTCGTATACACGCCATAGAATACAAATTTGCCATTTTTACACAAAAGGTAGGGTCCATTTGACCCACTAAATATTGACCGATCTTTATCAAAACAGGCATGCTTATTCTTTGGCCCGATCCCTTTTTCCATGGACATACTACGAGGATATACTACGAACTTCTCGTTCGTCAGGTTCGTATGTACGCCATAGAATACAAATTTTGCCATTTTTCACACAAAAGTCAGGGTCCATTTGACCCACTAAATATTGACCGATCTTTATCAAAGCAGGCACACTTATTATTTGGCCCGATCCCTTTTTCCATGTAAAAATTCTCGATATTTGGACCATAATTGCGGCCAGAAAATCAGACAAATATTAACCGATCATCATCTAAATATTAACCGATCTTTACCAAAAAATAGGGGTCTTTATTGGCCAGAACCCATCCAACATTCAAAATTTCGTGAAGATTGGTCCATAACTGTGACCTGTATCGTGTTTACAAGTTATAATGGACAGACGGATGGACGGACACACATGTCTAGATCGATTCAGATATGATGATCGGCATTACAAAATCTTGGGTCTATAATACCCTGACTACATAATTTGTGGGGTATAAAGACATATTGCAAGGAGCCTACGAGTTTAGATTTAAACATATGAAAAATAATTTTGTCAGAGACCTTAATCCACAGTTTAAAAAACTATATTTCTTTAAAAATCATCGCATATACAAGCTCGGATTTTGTAGCAATAAGTTGGGATTTAAAATGCTTTTTCAAGGATTTTTAAATTTTTTGTCGATGACCAACAAACGCTGATTTTTTTTAAGAAATATTCCTTCAAGGACCTATTTACAATCACGAAATTTTTAAGAAATACGTATTTTTTAAAAAACTTTCAGTACCAAAATTCCCCGTATTTAAAAAAAATATTTTTTTTGTTCATGATTTTAAACTAAATATTTGTTTCGTTTTCGACCCGCACTGACGATCATTTATCTTATCAAAATTAAAATAAAACCTCTTTTAAAAGGAGTAACAACTGTAAGTTTTTTTTTTAATTTTTTTGACAAGTTGAGTATCGTGTGATGTGACCTTTAATTCAGTTGTCATTTCTATTGTATCTTTATTGCGCCTATTATTTTGTACTTACAACAATTATTTGTAATATGATGCAGTGCTACCGCTCTCAGGCATCAGCAATTTGTGCTGTTAATAGGAATACGTGAGAGAAGAGAGGCGGCCCAGACAACAAAACACCTTTTGGCATCAGAGACAGGCAGAGAGCCACTCTTTGGCTTTTTTCACACATAGATTATTTCCAAAGAGAGCACGCGTGCGGTGTTTTGCTTGAAAAAACATCATCATCATTGTAATTACAGAGATGAGGTGTGGCATTACAGCTGTTTCTGTCAGAGTTTGCCGGAAATCAATGTAACATCAGTTGGATGAAAAGAAAATGAAAAAAAAAACGTTGGAAACTGCCGCCTATTCTTGGGAAATAGTAGCGGTCTTTTTTGTGGAAAATCTTAATTTTCCCAACAACAATTGTGTGCAACGAAAAAACCGCCATATGAAACAACTTACTAAAACTAAAAGAGAACGCAGAGAACGAACTTTTTTATACATGTAAACAAGGGCACCAGTTCCCATGGTTGGACAGGGCTACTTCAAACATATGGAATATAAAAGTTGAATTGTTTAAAAAAAGGAAAGAAATCAAACGTTATTCTATTTAAATCATATTTTGAACCTTAAGTACAAAAATCTTTCATAATTTCTATATTTTACATAAGTTTCTTAGATCAATGAGACAATTGCATCAATCTAAAAAAATGACCCACAATTACAAAATTTTACTGAACGCTGCAATATCGAAATAAAACTATTTTCACTAAAAAATGGGAAATAGGTAATAATAAAATAGTAACGTGCTTAGTTGTAAACTAAAAGGAAATTGTATAATTTAAAATAGTCGTCTGTCTGTCTGTCTGTCTTTCTATTGTTTAAACAAAACGACGACATTAAATGAATGAAATAAAATTTAACAATGGAAAAAAACAACAGTAAAATTGTAACACTAAAAAATAAATGAGAAAAATAGAAATAAAAACAATTGACTGTGTGTGTGTGAACATTTAAAAAGCTAGTGAAAATAATAGCACTAAAAACATGTACGAAGTACTAAAAATTCTACTCAATCAATCGGAATGTAAGATACATCCTCAAAAAATCGAAAATTCGAGGCTATTTTATATTAGGTTGTTATTCATACAGGATCATTTAAAGCTTTTTTGTTTCAACTATTGTTTGTCTGTGTGTATCAATTTACAGCCAATTTTTTTGGAATACGAAAACTTTTTGAAATTGATACATGGCAGAAGCAACACTATAATTATATAATTTTGCCATTTTTAATTTTTATTTTCGATAATAGAGAGAAATGTTCAAATCAATCAATTTAAGAGAGATATGTGTTGCTTAATCCTCAATAATTCAGTTTGATATTGTGCATTAACAACACATAAAAATGAGGATAATGTACAGTTAACGAATTAACTAGTTAATGCAACGATTCAGTTGAAAGAGCAAGTGAACTAGTTCAAA